CAAAAGTTGGTCAGACCTTCATCTACTCATTGGGGAGTGGGGACCAACATCCCACTCACTCAACCAAACCCCCCCCCCCCCCCCCCCCTTTTTCTTTTCATTCTTCTTTATCCCCCTAATTTTATAAATTTGGTCCTCTAATTCACTACTTCTGCATATATCTATATGTGAATTTAGGTGTCGACACTGAAAGCTAACTCAGTAAGTACTTATCGGTTCAATTATCTTATCGGATAATATAACAAGGCCCTAGAAACTTACCTGATAAGAGGAAAGGTAATGATCGATAGTCTTACCCGGTAAGTGAGGGTGATGAATCTTATTCTGTAAATACTTGTTGGGTTATAATCATTTACCATCAATCTATTTTGATGGCCAAGAATGTTACTCCATAAGGTAAGTGAAAGTGATGATTTTTTACTGATAAGTGTTTGGTAGATAACCCCTTAATATATTGGTATTCGTCTAAGACGGAGCCTATCAATCTTTTCCTCATAATGTTAGAATGTTAATTTCTTTGTGTATAAACGGGGAAGGGTAAATATAAGGAGAAAATGGTTATTTAACGAGTATAAGTTTGATACATACATCGTTTTTCTTTAGTTAAATACAGAGGTGAAAATTATTTGTTTGTCTGAGAATAAAAGTTATGGTGAGAAGCGTTTGAAGAGATATGAACCCTTGATCACTTTTAGTATCATGATCATCCATGAATTGCGCTTTAGAAGAGAATTGACCCCGTACATCTCGGTGCATCCGATTAGTGTTGACATTCAATTAGGATTGATCCAAGTATGGTGATCTCTTCTTACGCTTCTCATTATAACTTCTTTTCTCATTAGAACTCAACTCATGATATAAATCATAAATGTCATAACTATGAATACGTATTAACAAGTATCGAGTCTAAATTTGTAAGTTACAGTAGACTATCAAACTAATTGAATATTGCCTCTATGGACTTGATTGATATAAAATCATAAATTTCATAACTATAAATACAAATTGACAAAGTATAAGGACTAACTTTGTATTTCCCATAAACCATCAAACAAAATGAAAATCATGTATCGTTTCTAAATGTCAAAAGTATTGTAGTGATTTTTACGTTATAACAAATTTTATCGTTTAATATCGAAACAAGCAAAATTCTTCTGTTCAAAGTTCAAACATCCAAAAGTCTTTTAATGTACCTAAACCATTTTTCTGCAGGTAAAGACTAAAGATTTAAAGTTCTTCCATGAACAGGCTTTATAGAGACGTATTGTGGGGAAATATATATGTGGGGACAATCAGAAAGTTTTCCCGTTAACCTTGAAAAAGATACCATATCCATGGCACGAAAATTGTTTCCACCTTTAAATATCATCCAAATACAACAGTAACGTAACCAAACGACATCAAGAAAACAGAGGTTTATCTCATAATAAAAACAATTATTAGATCAGGTATATAAATTATATTAATAAACAGATAACAAAATATCAGTATTTTTTAAAATAAAAAAAATAACAAGAAGTAGATTCCAGTTATGTTAATAGAAAATGAATTTTACACAATTCCCATAATTGTCTCCACATGGATTCCAACCCAAAGTTGAATTATCCCCTCCATCATATAATTAATGCTAATCATCTTAACCTTAATAGCTTTCTTTTTGTTCTAATCATTTTTCTTTGAACCTACTTTGTTGGGGTTACCTATATAATTGTGGCTTCTTTAGCCAAGGAACACCAACCAAATTGGTCTCCACATGGGGGTATGTAATTACCACTATTAAATCATAA